CCAGGGCTCAGATTGAGACACCGCCGTCGCCCGGTGTGTCATCCTCTCAACGTCGTCGTCGTAATCTCGCATAGAAAAATCGAGCCCGCTGGCTTAGACAAGGCAGCACCTGTTCCCACCGTTCAGGGGCCGTGAAAGGATGGCGGCCAGCGATTTCTCGAAGCAGCCAGAGGTTCTTGACTACCGTGAAACGTTTCTTGGGGGACGCCTTTTCAAACAAAGTCTGCGTAGCTTCTTAGTGCAGCGAGGTTCATAAGGGTCAAGCGCGCTCCCAAGCATGATTTCAAATAGCGAGCACCCACCTTTCCAGAAAAGCACCATCTAGTGAACCTTTACTGAGAGTGGAACGTGCTTCTCAAAATGGCGACGATAGCGGAGCTGACGCTCCACGCTCAAATCCCAGAGCGGGTCGCGCATGCGCGATGGCGACTCCGCTTTCCATAGAGCGGAGCGGGAAAGCGAAAACGGTCTACTAAAACTCTCTACTATCTACATCAATCAGAGCGTGCCGCTGTCATGCACGCGGCGCGCGGCACCATCTCAAATGCAGCTGAAAACGCCATTTAGATTAATTACAGCTCACTACATCTTCTCCTCCCTTAATAGAAAAATAAACGTTGGATAATTTATTAGGGAAGAGAAGAAAACAGCTTACTCCTTAAAGAAAATACAGAGTTCACGCACACACAAAAATCCTACCAACCAATCACTACAAGCAAAATTAATTGTGAAGTGGTCGGAGAAAATAAGGATAAAGAAGTACATTGGAGAGATACAATCATAAATGCTACACTTTGTACTATGTCGAGCACTTTTCAGTTAGATTGAAAAGTGCTCTCTTCACTGCAACCAAAAATGTCATTGTACTCCTTTAAAACAAAGAACTTTCAAAAATCGCGCAGTAAGCCGAGTCCTTCGAAACACGAATAACACTTTCACCTCTGCGAGTGAAATGAATGACTAGACCTTAGAAACCTAACGAATAACACTTTAAAAAAAAAAACTCACGGTTTGACGAGTCATTTGAAACAAAGATTAACACTTTGACCATAACCTCTATGTACATAACATGGAAACCTGAAAATATACGTAAGGCAGTTCATCCAAAACTTCCATGTCCATAACATGAAAATTTGACATTTGAACACATATGAAAAATGCAAAATAACTGTCTGTTCACATCTATCCCATAAAAATACGGTGGACACGATGAAATTGCAAACCACTATGACTTAAGTCCCAGAGTTTTTAAGGAGCGTCCTTGGAGTATATATCCACTTGAAAGTCACGAAATTTTTGCGGGAAGTCGTCTACGCCGCGCGGGGCGTTGTGGTGTGTCCGATGGGGATAGTGGTGGAGTGTGATATGCCCTTGGTGGTGTGTCTGCACCACCGTCACCTGATGTAGGAGTCGATTCTTGGGTTGCCTCAGGACTTGATTCCAGGACTTCTGCTAAACCAGGAGCCACTGAAGGCTCGGAAAGTGTGGAGGTCTTTGGCCCAACGGAGTGCAGGGACTCCGCTGAGACCGTTGCGGAGCTAGATGACGGCAGCTCGCTCCAATACCCGAGTCCCAGTTGAGATGAACTTGATGCGGTGCTCAATATTGCACCGCTTGAAGGAACGGAAGGTTCAGGACCCTCCTGGAAAGCGAGCCTGAGGGCCTCCTGGAAAACTGCAGCCGGGGCAGCCGGCGGAACTGGTGGCTGGCTGCTGGCTTGATGGACTGGTACAGCAGCGCGGAAGGCCGCTTGGAAACCGGAATCAGGAACAGCACCGGGGACTGGGGTGGCGGGAAAGCCACCGAAAACCATCGCATCTTGCACGGTACAGGGTACCACGGAACTGGTACCGGGTACGCCAGGAACAGGGAGGGCACCGGGTACTATCGGTACGTGGGCAGCACCAGGGACCACAGCTATATGGGCTGCAGGAGCCGTATGATGTGGAACGACGCCTGGCACAGCAGGATCATGGGCGGCGCCGGGGGTCGCATGACTATGGGCACCAGGCGCCACAGCAATATGGCCAGGGCCGGGTGCCGCAGTAGCATGGGCGGCCACAGGGGCCGCAGTGGCATGGACGACCTCTTGGGCCGTCGGAACAGGACCGGCATCAGGGGCCGCAAAAACAGGACCGGCCGCAGGGGCAGGAACGGCAGCAGGGGCCGCATGGACAGGAACGGCAGCAGGGGCCGCAGAAACAGGAACGGCAGCAGGGGCCGCAGAAACAGGAACGGCAGCAGGGGCCGCAGAAACAGGAACGGCAGCAGGGGCCGCAGAAGCAGGAACGGCAACAGGGGTCGCACGGACAGGAGTGACGCTGGGGGCCGCAGCACGCAAAGTTGCAGGTGCCAAACCCTCAGGTGGCACATGGCCCAGGCTTATAGCTGGAGCCGCATTAGTTGAAGTGGGGAATATGTCATCATCCATAAGCCACCACGGCTGACGTTGGGGTGGTTTCAATGTTGTACGTGTCATTTTGTCTGCATTCCATATGGTTCCATCATCTAATCTATATGTGGCTGGCCCAACTTGTTCATGTATATGTTGCGGTGGAGCATATCTGTTGCGCATTTTCCCTCTAATGTTAGGTTTGAAAACCTTTACTGCTTGCCCAGGAGCTAAAACAGGGTGCTTGACTGCTCGACTGGCATCGGAATACTTCTTCATCTTAGTTTGATATTCCTTTACTCTATCAAGAAGCTCTTCCTGAACAACATGTGGAGGGATGGTGGACTCTGGGGTCCCTCGCCCTTGAAGATGCAGTCGCGTCCGGTGGTTGCGACCGTGTAAAAGAAATGCTGGTGTTTCTCCTGTCGCTGCATGGCGAGTACTTCGGTAAACACCGAGATATTCCGTAATGGCTTCAGAAAGCGGACGATGTTGGACGAGTGCCAACTGAATGACAGACTTAAGAACTCGACTGAATCGCTCTACCTGCCCATTAGCTTGGGGATGGTAGAGAGATGACTTCACATGTTTGATGCCATGCGTCTTCAAGAAATCGCTGAACTCCTTTGAAATAAATTGTGGACCATTGTCTGTCGTGATCTCTTGCGGCAAACCCTCGCGGGCAAAGACAGACTTCAAAAACTTTATGACTGTGGCAGTCGTGACGTTGTGGGCTGGTGCCGCTTCAGGCCACTTGCTGTGGTAATCTACCAACGTGATAAAAAATCTTTCCTGAGCAGGAGCTCGTTCAAACGGTCCAACAATGTCCATACCAAGTTTTACCCATGGACGAGTGGGAAATTCAACTGGTTGAAGAGGTGCGCGGGATGCCTTTGCAGGCTTATCTGTGGACTGACATACTGTACAGTTTTGAACTTTGGTCCTGACATGCTGATTTAGATACGGCCACCAGTAAAGTTTCTTGATGATGCTGGTGGTGCGCGAAATACCTTGGTGTGTTTCATGTGCTACATCAATGATCTGATCACGGAGTGTGGACGGGACCACTATCTTCTCTCCCTGGAACAACAATGCATGTGTGACTGATAGCTGGTCTCTTACAACGAAATATGGTTTGAACTCTGAAGGTAACTTGTCCTCTGAAGGCCACGTGTTGGAAAGATATGTTATGACAATTGGCAATACAGGATCTTTTGCAGTTTCTTCCTTGAATTCTTTTTCTGTGAGGCATGCACAGACGATTGAAACCACTTCCTCCTCAAAAGTCATGCCTTCATCGGTATCTGAAACCGGAAGGCGAGACAGAGCGTCGGCAACTACATTGTCGCTTCCTTTGCGATACTTCATGGTGAAATTGTAGTTAAAACGTCTAGCCGTCCAGCGACTGATGCGCCGTGGACGGACACCGGTCCCTTGAGTGGACATTAATGTGACGAGAGCTTGATGATCGGTGTGAATATCGAAGTGTCGACCCCAGAGATATACATGCCATTTCTCGCAAGCCCAGAGGATTGCGAGAGCTTCTTTCTCTCCTGCTGAGTACTTCCGCTCTGCTTCGGAGAGAGCGGGAAGCGAAAGCAACAGTCTTTAGTTGCTTCCCATGCTGGTGCTGGAGAACAGCACCTAGTCCGTAATTGGACGCGTCTGTGGAGACGACAACTGGAAGAGTGGGGTCGAACATAGCGAGAATGGGTGCCTGCTGAAGGCAGGACTTGACACTTTGGAAACTTGCCTCTACGTCGGACGACCAGACAAAAGATGTTCCCTTGCGCAGAAGCCTTCGGAGGGGTTCTACAAGAGTAGCACAATGAGGGACAAACTTACTGTAATATTGTACTAGACCTAGGAAGGCCTTCAACTGCGAAGGTTCTGACGGAACTGGAAAATTTAGGACCGCGTCTATCTTCGACGGAAGGGGTGCTAGACCCTCCGCAGACAGACGATGACCAAGAAATGAAAGTTCAAAAACATTGAAAACGGCTTTTCTATTGAGTTTCATGCTGGCCTCTCTAATACATTGGAGGACTTGTCTGAGGTTATTATCATGTTCTCTCTGGGAGGAACCATAGACAATGACATCGTCCAGATTAAACTGGACTCGCGGACAATGTTTTAATATCTTGGACATGACCTGTTGGAAGGCCGCTGGTGCAGACGCCAGACCGAAACAAACTCGTTTGAAACGAAAAAGCCCTTCATAAGTAATGAATGCTGTTAAGTCGCGACCCCTGGGGTCGAGACGGACCTGATGATAAGCAGACGCAAGGTCTAACTTAGAAAAATGAGAAGCTCCACTGAGGGCGTTCAGAAGCTCATCAATGTGCGGAAGCGGAAAAGAATCAATAACGACTGCCTGGTTTGGCGCCCGCAGATCGACACACATACGGGTTCCACCGTCTTTCTTCTTAACTACTACAATGGGGGACACCCATTCCGACGCGTTTACGCGCTCTATAACACCTTGGTGCTCGAGCTTCTGAATTTCTGCACTGACGGCATCACGCAACGTGATTGGTAAGCGGCGAAGTTTAGCCTGTACCGGCGGGACATGGTGCCGGACAGTGATTGTGTGAGTTTGGTTTTTAACTTACCCTAACTCAGGAGAAAAAAGATCCTCAAATTCTTCAAAACCAGAAGGTAACTTCGATGCATCGCTCACCGATGAAGGTTGCAAAGATGGTCCCGACGTCGGCGGATCCCTTGAAGGCTGGTCTCCGAAGACGCCTCTACTGGAGTAGTATTCAGACGATGTGGATGGCTGAGTGCCGTGAACAGTGGACAATGATGAAGGGTGCTTGCAGGGAGCACTTGAAGTACTCGGCGGAGGACTGGGCTCCGCCGCACCTGGGGACTGCGGAACTTCGGCCGACTTTACATGACCTTGGATGGCTGCGCAAGAGTCCGCAGAATTGACATGAAAACATTTGAGTGGAGCACCCGACAAAATGAGACGAAGTCCATGCACGGCATCTGTCCCAAGCAGGGATCGGCCATTGCGAACAACGTAGAAAAGTATCTCGGCGGATCTCTCTTTGAAACCGACTTTGGTCTGGAAACATCCCACGACTGGAATGGACCCTCGGAGGTAGTGCACAAGAGTGCGCGGTGGTTTCCTTAGCCGGATTTGCTGCTGGGAGTTAATTTTGTTAAACATGCTTTCGGAAAGTATTGAAACTTCGGAGCCAGTATCAATGAGTAATGGTAATGTAGATCCATTCACCTGAACATCAGCGGTGAAATTCCGTGGGCGACTGTCGGCGCGTCCTTTTGGAAGGACTTCCGGTGACCCGACGGTACAAATTTTCGGCTGCTGCTCCTCTTCGTCAGAGAATGCCACGCTTCCATGGCTGGTTGTCAGGTTACGGCCAACTCCAAGCCGCTGGTACCGGCGACCGGCGGCCCGACCACGTCTCGGCGGAAAGGCCAGCTGACGACGATCGGTGGCAGCAGACGATGGAGGAGAACTCCGGCAAACATTTGAAAAATGACCTAGTTTGCCACAAGAAAAACAGGACATTTCTGAAGCAGGACATTCCTCACGTGGATGGGGTCGGCGACCGCAGAATTGACATAACTCTGCCCCATGCCCAAGAGCGCGCGCGCCCGGCGGAGCATCACGCGGTACTCGGCTCACGAAAGTGCGGGTGTGTGCGCGCGACTCGCGCCACTGGTGTTGCGGCGAGAAGGAAACATTTGCGGGGGAGCAGGAAATGGCATGCCGCCGCTCTCCATTTTGATCTTGGATGTGCAAATTCGAATTCGATCGTCGGCCATCTTGTTCACGCTGAATAAAAACCCCTTGTACGACCTGAACGGCGTGCGGCGTTCCAGAACGCGATAAACTGGAGGGAAATTGGCGGTACCGATCGCAATCTCGAGACGCCTGTTCGAACTGCTGTGCTAGAAGCACAATACGTTCGAGGCTGGGTAGTCCAGCTTCCGCAGACTCTCGGATTACCCGATCTTGTACCTCCGACGAATTTAAACCGGCCAAAAAGACTTCTGCGATGCGGTTTTCAAGGGACTCTCCGAAATCACAAAAAGAACCAAGTTGCCTGAGTGCGCTAAGGTAGTCGAGGACGCTCTCTCCCGGGGATTGGACGCGGGTGAGAAATTGCCTGCGTTCGACGACAACGTTAGCTTTGGCAGCAAAATGCTCATCAAGTGCCGCTACGAGCTCATCAAATTCAGAAACGGCCGCGCTGCTGGCGGGGACTGTTGAAGGAGATGTCGAAACTATTCGTTGGCCTTCCAAGCCAAGCAACGCCCACACTAGTGCGCGCTTGCGCTTCGGAGAGCTTTCATCTGCCTCTATGGCCACAAGATAATTGAAAAACGACGTTTTCCAACTTAGCCAAGGCTGCGCAGGGGCACCTGGCGTGGGAAGAAATGCTGGTAGCGTCTGTAAGGAAGCCGTCGCCATCCTCTTACCGTTGCGAGATAATGTTACAAAGATTGACAAAAATATTAAAACTTTCACCCCAAATGAGAACGGGAACAATTTCCTGAGTTACGAAAAAGAGATGGACGCTTCCGTGCTGTGCGCACTTTATGCGTGAAAAGAAAAGAACCATTCGAACACGTTACGCGTAACCACTACTGATTTTTGAAATGGAACGTTGACGGACGAAATGGAACGAGTGTCGCGATGCGTCGACATTATTTTATGTACTACATTTCGCACGGAAAAGATGTGGTGGATGCAAATATTCCAAAAGGACCTAACATTCTGAACGCTACAATATGAACTAACACACAAAAAGAAAACCATACATGCCGGTGTTGCCACCACTCATCTCCGGTACGGAGTCTGATCAAATGTTCACGAGAGGCGAAAATGGAAAAATGAAAGAAAAGACCTCGTCGCCAAAATGTAGTATTAAGCTCGTCACCAAAATGTAGTGGTCGCGTGGGGCCATTACGGGTGAGTGGTAAGAGACAGGGAAAGCTAGGATAAAGACAGCGCCCCGAAAGGCCTGTAAAGATGCTGGAAAGGCTTACATTGCCGTGGCGCGTGGGACGCGAGATGGTCGGTGGCCGGGGACCAAGCGGGCACACCGGTAAAGGAATACACGACACGCCAGCTCGGAGTTTCGATCAAGACTGCTTGTATTTTCAATATCTACATCAATCAGCGCGTGCCGCTGTCAAGCACGCGGCGCGCGGCACCATCTCAAATGTAGAGTGCCTTCATACACACGCGCGGTAGGCACCCTATCTCAAATGCAGCTGAAAACGCCATCTAGATTATTTACAGCTCACTACAGCTTCCACTACCCGTTCAGCTTGCAGGGTAAGCGGAGTATGGTAATCAGTTCACTAGTGAGTTGTTTGTGGAATGGAAGCTGCCAGGCACGAAGAACGAAGATCAACTAGTCCTGGTATCGCATCACGCGATTGCTCAAATTTTTGACTGCGAACACGGGAACAGCATAATCACTCAGCGATTCGTAGAAACGCGCGAACATTATGATCACTCAGAGGTTCATAGGAACACGCGAACAGCATTATCAACTCAGTGATTCATGAGAACACGTGAACAGCATGATCACGTAGGGTTTCATAGGAACATGCGAATAGCTTGATCACTTAGCCATTCATAGGAACACGCGATCATGATCACTCAGCGATTCATAGAAACTCTCATACAGCATAATCACTCTGCGATTCATCGAAACACTCGGACAGCGTGATCACTCAACGATTCCTATGGACATGCGAACATCATGATTACTCAGTGATTCAAAGGACCGCGCGAACAGCATGATCACGTAGAGATCCATAGGAACATGCGAATAGCTTGATCACTCAGCGATTTATAGAAACTCTCGTACACCATAATCACTCTGTGATTCATAGAAACATTCGGACAGCATGATCACAGCGATTCATAGAAACACGCGAACAGCATGATCGCCCAGCGATTTGTAGAAACACGCCAACAGCATGATCACTCAGTGATTCCTATGGACATGCGAACAGCATAATTACTCATGTGATTCAAAGGACCTCGCGAACAGCATGGTCAACTGAGCGATTTATAAGAACACACGAACAGCCTGATTAACTCAATGGTTCATACCAGCACGCGAACAGCATGATCAACTCAGTGAATCATACGAACACATGACCACGTAGCAAATCATAAGAGCATGCGAATAGCTTGATTGATCACTCAGCGATTCATAGAGACTCGTACAGCATGATCACTCAGCGATTCATAGGAACACGCGAACAGCATGATCACGCAGCGATTCATAGGAACATGCGAACAGCATGATTTCTCAGTGATTCATAGGAACACGCAGACCGCATGATCACTCGACGATTCAGATAGACCTTTTTCGTGTGACGATTGCCATCTTATGCAATCTTGTTCGCAGCAAGGACGAGGACAAAAGAAGAGAACTTGACACAACTCTTCTTTTGTCCTCGTCCTTGCTGCGCACAAGATTGCATAAGATGTCAAACCAACTCGCCCAAACTACCACTCTTCACGATTGCCATTTATGTCAGAATTCAACATAGCAACCGCAAAATAAAAAAATAAAAAAAATTCTGGATTATATGCACTGCTCATACCATCATACAAAAGACAGTTTGCAAACATGAGTCGCCGCAATATTCGTGACTCGAATGCAGCTTGCTGAGTTTTCTCCTTGAACTCATTGCCACGCAGCATTCGATGCACGGATCTCGCGGTGACACGCATTTGAACTTGTTTGCAGACTTTCTTTTGTATTATGTATAAGCAGTGTGATGTCTGGCGAAAAAACGTAACCCATCGGTTCTAAAGCTTCGTAATCTGCACGTTACCTCTGCCAAATGAGCCCATATGTACTTTGCCCCGTGTCCTACGACCTTCAGCGCGAACTTTAGAGCCAAGTACATGAATGGATTCAATGGAAGGATGGACGGATGCTAATTATTTCACCCATTATCACGGGTGGTAGCTTGCGTCACCTAGCCGCGGAAATTTGTTGCGTCTACGTTTCTGCAAAGCAGTAATGGCGAATCCCAGGGGTCATTTTGGAGCGCGCCGGGATTGACTTTTCTGGAGCGTCTATTACACTGGGCGGTCGGGATCGAGATGGACGTGTTTTACTCGTCGTTTTGGATCAGCTCCCACTCCAGATACTTGTCCCTCTTATCATGGGCGGAAGCCAGAGAGAAGACGCCATTTAACCCACGAATGAACAGGATCGCTAGGTTGGACATTTGAGAAAAGGTACATGGAAGTGACGTAATGCAAAGGAGGAGCGTATCCTAGCAACACTCACGTGGCGGCTCTGCCCACTTTGACGCCGCTACGTCATCGCAAACTTGACACCCGTCACCCGTTTCAGCGACGTCCGGAGCCAACCACCCACGAGCGGAAGTAGCTACGCATTCCCTGAGGCGTCCCTACGCGCGGGATACGGGGTAGGATTTACTACGACGCGGGGAGCAGTTCCTGCGTTTAGCGAAGAAACGGCAACCAATCCTGTGCGTCGCTGGCCGTCGCATCTGTTCTAGTACAGGTAAAAGTATTGAAAAACAATCAAAATCTTTTGGGCGTTGTTAAAACAAACCGCCTTTTTGTACCCTTTTGCAATACATTTAAGAATTAATTGGAGAGAAAGTTGTTCCAATGTTATGCGGGATGTGCGCTACGCGCCTTCTTCAAACCAAAATGTCGAACCACGAGGAGCCGGGTGTGCCGGGGGCAGCGGAGGGGTCGGCGGAACCAACGGGGAGCGCGCGAGTGACGGCTGCTTTAGTCAGAAACAATTTTTTTATCTTTCGAGAACTTGCTATTGCTGTGCTCAAATAAGAATGTTTGGCGCAACATCTGTGATAATTCTTTCAAAGTGGTCCAGTGTTTATATGGTGGTATGCTAGTCAGAAAATATATATATCTTTTTTTTCCTTTCGAAATTGAACTATTGTGCTCAAATAAGACCAGAGTGTTCAACAAGATATCTGTGATATATACTTAAGATTGCCCAATTGCTTACATGGTTCCAGTCGATGCTCAGTTTTACTTCCAAGAATGAAATATTACATTCCATGTTATCACACTTTTATTCATGAAGTCACAGGTTTCTTTTTTAGGAAATAAAGCAATTTTTAAAACAAACTACATGTGCACTGTCTTGAGATAACAAAATCACCTAACTTTGATGAAGTACCATAAAAGAGATAATAAAATGAAGCAGAAGGCAAGACGCTTTGAAGCATTTGTAAAATGAAACAATGTCCATGACAACAATATCCCTGGTTCAATCAGCAACTAAGAAAGCAATCTCTGCAAAAGCAAGCATTTCTTTCTAGAGGTAGTCTAAATTACTTCTGCGTTCTTTGCAGGGGCAATCCAGATGACCTGTTGGTCTGGCAACTAAACCTCCGAACCTTTTCTGTCACTGTCGACTGCGTCTCGTGCCTTCTGCTCATAAAAATAAAAAAAAAGGCTGTATCGATTTCACCGCGATGCACTCGACACGTATCCGGAGGCAGCACGCTGGCTGAGCGACGAACTTCACAAGGTATAGGAGCTGAAGAGTGTATGTAGCTTGTGGACGGCCATGACTGTGGAGCAGGAAGCGAAGTGTGCACTTTACGGCTTCCACGGGGAGGGCTTCACTGAGGGCAAGAATGTGACGGGGTCCTTGGTGGTCAGGACCTCAGTCGTGGTGGCGAGAGGTTCCCTGTCGCTGCCGGCGTCCGTGCTGGGCACCACCGCAGCGAGGGCGCTGAGGGGCTTCCCGACGGTGTCCCTGGTGGTCGGGACTACCGTCGTGGCGGCGGACCCCTTGCGTGTGGCGCTCCGCACGGGCACGTCTGCGGCGGGTTCCGAACCGGGCGACAAGGCGCTGCCTCAGAGCCTTCCCCCTGTCCGAGAGGCCGACCGGAAGGCCGACCGGAGGGCCGGCAGGAGCCAGCCTCTCGGGAGCCGACGCTGACCTCTCCGAGCTCGGCTCAGAACCGTCCGAGCTCGGCTCAGACTCCAACTCTGACTCTTCAGGGTCGGAGTCTGACTCCGGTTCTGGCTCGCTCGATGCAAGGCAGATGTTGTGGAGCACTGCACATGCCGAAATAATGGCGGTGGCTGTTGAAGGGTGGTAATACAGAGCCCGGTGCCTTTGCAGACACCGGAATCTGTTTTTCGACAGCCCGATGCAGCGCTCCACAACAGACCTGATCGAGGAATGCGCCTTATTAAACCGGCCGCAAGCGGTGGAGGTCGCGTGGTTCCCGGGGACAGGGGTGATGAGCCAAGGCTCCAAGGGGTAGCCGCTGTCACCTGCACATGTAGAGGATGGAACATATTACATTCTTTACTTTTTAAAATAAAAGGCAAGAAAACAGCTGTGTGCAACTATGTCAATTATAATGTAACTTAAGTGTGACTTAAAAGTGTGTTAATATTTCTGCACTACAGTA